GTGTATTGTGTTATAATTTGAAATGTCAAAACTTATAATTAATTAGAGAAAAGAGATAAATTGTAATTTACACACACATTTGCACGTCCACCGGCAGCGCTGATGGTCGCCGGCCGCACACATCCACACAAACACGCATTCAACTCCGGTTGATGTCGCCATGGACAGTTCCGCGCTGCCCCCATCGTCCCTGCCATCCTCCCACGGAAAAACCTCCTCCCTTCTCCTTTCAACCATATTGTTGGAGATCAACACTGCGCACCCGCGGCTCAACTCGACACCCCCGAGCGGCTTTCGTTGCATGAATCGTTGTGTCCCAGGTTTCAAGCTTCTCCAACCTGTAGGATGATATCGACTTCCCTGATGAAGATTCTCATCAGCCGCAATATGGGGAAGGTGTGGAGGGTGAACTAATTAGAGATAGGGGCATGTAAGTGAAAATTAGATAAATTATAGAGACCAATCTGCAATTTTAAGAATTTTAATTATATTTTTAATTAATTCATGGATTAAATATTAATTTATAAAAAATATAATAAATGCAAAAAAATAAATAAATTGGATAATATGTGTATGGAATTTTTGGGGATTTTAGTATATTTTCAATTTAATTAATGGGTTAAATGTGTGATTTTTTTTTAAAAAAAAAAATGATAACTGTACAATATTATTCCATATTAGAGATATAGAAAGCGCACAATGGTTGTATGCACTTTAAAAGTTCAAAAAATATAAAAATGTCAACGCGCTACAAAATTAATAATATTGTTAATCGTATGTCGTCGATATATTTTTTATTTTATACGTTCATGTAACAATTTATATTCTATTTGTGGAAGAAATAAACAAATTTTTAACAGTAAAAATAGCTAATCGAACTAAAACAGTAAATTTCAAATCCAAGACTTTAGTTTGGTCGTTGTTGTGCAGTTTTACAATCATTTATCTGCAATTTGTGTAAGTCAATTGTCCGTCAGTTCGCCTGGCCGCTCCTAATGTAGCCTTTGTAGGTCCCCATTTGGGTCTTTTTTTTGAGCCATCGATGTGTTGTGGCGGCTCCTCCTTCCTTCTTCGGTGTTGAAGTTCTTCGGAGCCCAGATCAGGGCTGAGAACTATCTCTTCACTATATCTGTCTAGGCGGTTCGAGTTCGGTCGCAGTTTTTGGGTATGGGGTTTATATTTGTTGCTTTGTTGTGGTTCTATGTTGTAAAGCGGAGCTCGATTGTCAGTTTGAGTGGTTGTTTGCTTAACCAATTAGGATTAAGGGAGATTGTATTTCAATTGTTTATTAGGTGTATTTTTTTTGTCTTTCGGTGTTTTTGTTTTGTTATAACTTTAGTTGTATCTGGCATCTAATCTCATTCATAGAGTTCGTGTCTCCTATATGGAGTTTGTTTTGTGGTTTCTTGTGTCTCCGTGATGGATTCTCTACTCCCTAGAACACATGTATTGTTTCAAGGGGGCGGTCCAGACTTCGTTCTGGTACCTTTGGTGTCAGTTGACACTTAAATTATACTCTATTGAATCTTAAAGTTATTAATATATTTGTCGTTTGAAAATAAATAATAAAAAACTTCAAAAAAACTAATGAGGAAAAAAAGGCCAAAAAATGGCTTACAAGGCCTATATGTATATACTGTCAGAAGTAAGAGTAACTAATCTCCACAAAAGAAACAATTAAAATACTTAATTGATTAACAAACTTTTATTTAATACTCATTAATTTATATACATTTTTCATATTTAAAAAATTACTAGCGCCGTTTAATATAAAAAAAAAAAAATATAAACAATTATTACTACCAAACGGCCTAGTACGTAAAAATATTGTATATGGCCAAGAGATTTGATATGTTTTGGCCCAATGTGTGTGTGGGGTCAGAGCCCATTCACCATTTTTGTTGGACATCACAGATCGAGCCAACACCACCCATTCATGATTTTGTTAGATTCGATGATTTAATTCGGCTATTTTTCGTTCCTCCCATTTGTGACTCGTCAAATCTAAAATGAACAAAAAAAATCCTCAATCACCTACAAATATTAATCAAATATTATGAAAAGATGAATAAAAATAATGTATAATTATGCATTTTTGGATTAGAAGTTCAATGAAAGTTGACTATGATGCGTTGAAAATAGGAGTTTTATCAAGGACTGAAAGACGGGCAAACTATCAATGCGAGGTTTGAAAGATAATTTTTTCTCAATTCGAAACTTAAATGTTATAAAACTATCAAATTAAAGACCTAAAAATGAGTAAACTATCATTGCGGGGTCTGAAAGATTTTTTTTTCTCAATTCGAGACTTAAATGTTATAAAACTATCAAATTAAGTCTATAATTAACAAAACTCATAACATCATTAAATTTAGAGTTACAAAAAATTAGTGTTTAATTAAATTTAGAGTATTAAAAAAAATACATATATAATATTTAATTTTTTATTTTCATATTCATTCACATTTTTAAACTATCAATGCATATGAATGAAATTTCAATAAGCATAATAGTCAATTTAAATATAAAAATTATATTAATTATTTACTTAATATAAATACTTGCATTATTCTTTTTAACAACAAACACATATATTTATGAGGACAAACACTCAAGAGTACGACTGGTTATAAATTATATAAAAATGTTTGAATGAAAAAGTGAGTTAAAGAGTAGAAAAAATTGATGGAAGAACGCAAACTTTTTAAAAATGTGAATGAATATGAAAATAAATTGTAATAATTAAATATTATATATTTTTTTAAAACTCTAAATTTAAACACCAATCTTTTTTTTAAAAAACTCTAAATTTAATGGTGTTATGAGTTTTGTTAATTCTGAACTTAATTTGATAGTTTTATAACATTTAAGTCCCGAATAAAAAAAAAAATCTTTCAGGCCCCGCATTGATAGTTTATCCATCTTTCGGGTCTTTAATTTGATAGTTTTATAACATTTAAGTCCCGAATTGAGAAAAAAAAATCTTTTTAGACCCCGCATTGATAGTTTAGCCATCTTTTGGGCCTTGTGTTGATAAAACTCCTTGAAAATATCAACTCACCGAGATTGTCGGTTTAATCGGCTCGTCTTGTCAATCGGATCAACCTACAAAGTGTCGGGGGGGGTGCGGCCCCAATGTAGACACTCCTACGCTCAAGTCATAAAACTTATATTTTAAATTGTATTGTAATGTAATTAAATCGAGCTTAGGTTAGAGATTGAACATGGATCCCGTATTTACAAGGAATTTAATTACTTACTCCTCAAGACAGGAATTTCCTTAATAACCAAGGAGTCTGATAATATCAAATCACAGTGTGGATATATACAAACTTACTAAATTATCATTTACTGATCTTTCTCAAATCTTTATAGGTATTTAACTGTATTCTTTTAATCTCATTAATAGGGGCATGTTAGTGAAAGTTAGATAAATCATAGAGAACAATCTGCAATTTTAAGAATTTAAATTATATTTTTAATTAATTAACAATTAATTAATAAAAATATAATAATAAATGCAAAAAAGTAAATAAATTGGATAATATGTGTATGGATATGAATATTAAATTTTTTGGGATTTTAGTATATTTTCAATTCAATTGATGAGTTAAATGTGTAATTTTTTATTTTTTTTAAAAAATGATAACTGTACAATAGTGTTCCATATTAGAGATATAGAAAGCGCACAATGGTTGTATGCACATTAAAAATTAAAAAAATATAAAAATGTCAACGCGCTAGTAAATTAGTAATATTGTTAATCGTATGTCGTCGATACATTTTTTATATTTTTATACGTTCATGTAATAATTTATATTATATTTTTGGAAAAAATAAACAAAGTTTTAACAGTAAAAATAGATAATCAAACTAAAATAGTAAATTTCAATTGTGGACAGTTTCGGTCGTCATTGTGGATAGTATGAATCAATCGAACTCCTATCTCAAACCAAATTAAAGCTGAACTTAATTAATTGATTTATTCAATGGTTATCCGAATTAACCCAAATAAATAAAATAAATAAAATAAAAATATTAAATAATAAAAACAATATATTAATTAATATTTTTTTTTTTTCGGTTGATAATACATAATGTAGATAATACATGCATCGCTTTTCTCACCTACTCTTTACTCTTTTTGTTCGTTTTTGTGAGGGTCGCTAAATTAAGATGGGCTGATTTGAATCTTGCACTGGGGCCAATTAAGATCAACCTTTATGCTAAATTAAGATGGGCTGATTTGAATCTTGCACTTGGGCCAATAAAGATCAACCTTTATGCTTCTTGCGCCGAACATTGCATTAGGCCTACATTAAATCCATTATTGCCCTCTTCCTTCCGCAATCATCTAAACAGGTTTACGACAAATAAATGGTTTTCTCATTCAAATTATGTCCCTCTTTCTATTTTGTAAAGACTTATGCATATATATTGTTCGTCGTTCTCTATCACTTACACATCTTTTTACATGAATTGAATTCATCCAACGGAACCATTTCATCGGAATTTGTAACCGTTAGATCAACTATCTACGACAGTTACGTGATGATCTAACGGTTACAAATCCCGACAGAATGATTTGGTGACGGGACTGTAGCATTTTCCTCATCCACATCCACTCTCAAATTTATGATATTAGTTGTGGAATAAATTAGTTACTCATGATCTAATTTTGTAAAAAAAAAAAGGTATATTTAAATCAAAACAAATAATATTTCATTTGACATGTTTTCTACAATATGAAATAATATTGCAAGTTCTTTTACATTTTTTATCTCACAATGACAATATAAACATTATTTATTACTCAATTTTTGTTGCATATTTTTTTTTTAATTAATATTACGAGTGATCACGGGCATTGTACTACATTGTACATTACATAACTTGGAAAATTTCAGGAAAAAAAGAACCTCAAGACTACAAAAAAAAA